CTATAGTGGAATCTCCGAAAAGGTTAAGTACTTATAAAACAGACTTTCTGTTTTTAGCTCGGGGGAATTTTTTTCACTGTGCTTACTGTACGGGTCCTCTTGTCCTCAAACTCAGCAATCCGGAATAAATAATTGCCGCAGAGCATGATCATCACGTATACATGCTCAGCGATCCATGTTTGTTAGAAGCACGTTATATGAAGACACGATAGATATTATCATAGCTTTGCCAGTATTCCAAGTAGTTGTTGGTGGATGTGCTTCCATTTCAACACGATAAAAAAGTCTTTCATAAAGAACAAGAAATGTTTAAAAAAATTATGTTTCATCTTTTAACAAAATAAAAACAACATATTAAATTGAAGAGTCCTTTTTTATTATTTCGAACAACGTATAAATAAAAAAGAAATTGTTAACAACTAATTAAAATATACAACGCCAAAATGAATTCTACAGGTGTTGAAATAAATACACTGCTTTCTACTTTTGGGTGTGATGTTCTGACATATCCAAATCTACAGATTAATTAATTAATGCCGTCTGACAAAAATAGCTGGAACATTGAAAACTGTTACGTCAAACCCTCACTCACTCAGTAACTGAGCTTAATAGCAAAGTGACTGAACAAACCGTTTAAACAACAAAAATACTGTGAAGAATGTGTAAGTAAAGCATACGAAATGAAGAAAATAGTGAATAGGACGATATATCATATTGCTAAGTGTTTGTTTTTCAAAACAACAAACAAATATACCTAACTCTTGATTGAGTCTGGTGAAAGAAATAAGCATATATACATAAGATGAGAAATATCAATAAAAATCCAATAATGACAAAAAAGAAAAGTATGTAATGAAACGCAGTTGGAAAAAAAGTTTGTTAAAGGTGTTTTTTATCATGACACTGAAGAATACTAGATTCTGACTGCTCAAAATAAGATTCAAATCGGGTATCAAAGTACATTAGATACCTGAAGATTTTCAATTATTTACAAGTGAATACATCGACCTATCCAGAACCTACATTCCCATGTATATAATAATGGCATATATAAGCCATAAGAACTGTATACGTTCGATATTGGAAAATCTTATTAAACATGAATATCTTATTAAACATGACGAAATCTATTGAAATCAGAACATACACTACCCAATGAGACGCAACAAAGCTTGGTTCCAAATTAAAATACGAGGCATCTAGACTACAGTTAGACCACATCAAATTTAAAAACAAAGTAGGTTTGTCTACTAATTCACAACTCACCACCATGTTTAAATGAAGCAACTTTCGGGATACTATGTCACACGCAAGTATGTAACATGTAGGCATGTGTGACAAAAATAAAATGAGTTAGATATTTGTTCCGTCTTAACCAGGTTAGGCTTAATAATATGGGGGGGGGGGGGGGGGGGGGGGGGGGGGGCGGTGGGTTAGCCTAGTGGTTAAAGCGGTCGCTTCGTCACGCCGAAGAAAAGCATTTTTGCCAAGCGATTGTGTAGCTCACCCGTATGTATGCATATCCCGGGTTTCATGGCATGTCAAAGTATTATTTGGTTCGTTGGTTTGTTGTTTAACGTCGCACTCAGCAATATTCCAGCTATATGACGGCGGTCTGTAAATAATCGAGTCTGATCAGACAGTCCAGTGACTGACATCATGAGCATCGATCCACGCAATTGGGATTGATGACATGCATCAACCAAGTCAGCGAGCCTGACCACCCGATCCCGTTAGTCGCCTCTTACGAAAAGCATAGTCGCCTTTTAAAGCAAGCATGGGTTGCTGAAGACCTATTCTACCCCGGATCTTCACGGGTCTCAAAGTATTGATAACTACAAAGTATTTATAACTACAAGTAGTATGCATATTTTAATAACTCGTACATCTACAGAAAATATTGGATATTTCTGTCAAATAACACTTGATCGACTTACCTGACAAAATCAGTGGTCTCAGAAACACGATGTCATTAGAATCATAGATAGCTAAAGTTTTGTAAAGTGAAAAATTCAAAATACACACAACTGAGGTTATACATTGTTTATATAATGTTCCATTGATACATACAGAAATTGATGGGTGATATCAAAATAACAATTCCAATATGGCTGCCTTGGTAGACATGTTTGAATTTGGACAGGATTGCTGTGAGACAATCATTATAACTGGGAGCATAGTATCATACATCAAAGTTTTGAGACAAAACTACTTGTGCTTTCTGAGATGTCGAGTTGTGTCACAAGGTCACAGCCGGGTAATAAATAGAAGCGCTCAGCCACCGTAACTCAGGGCACTGTGAGTGAGTGAGTGAGTGAGTGAGTGAGTGAGTGGAGTGGAGTGGGGTGGGGTGGGGTGGGGTTGGGTTGGGTTGGGTCGGGTCGGGTCGGGTCGGGTCGAGTCGAGTGAGTGAGTGAGTGAGTGAGTGAGTGAGTGAGTGAGTGAGTGAGTGAGTGAGTGAGTGAGTGAGGTTTTACGCCGCTTTTACAAATTATTCCAGCAATATCACGGCGGGGGACCCCAGAAATGGGCTTCACACATAGCACCCATGTCTGGAATCGAACCCGGGTCGTCGGCGTGACGAGCGAACGCTTTAACCACTAGGCTACCCGACCGAACCTCAGGACATTGTGAATACCACAGTATTACTGCATTTCGGGTGGAGGGTTTCAGAATCATGCATACATGAATGAAAGACCTAAGCCACAAGTGCGTTTCTCATAGTTTAACATATACGTGCGACAGTCGTTGAGTCAAGTTGGATTTGTGACACGGTTCCAAGTTAAGCGATCAATATCATATACATGTTCACATGCCTACAGCTAGATGAATGTTATATGCAATAATGTTTAAACCCATCAATTGAATGAATATGTAGCGGTTTTTATATCAATCAAAGTTAGTTGCTTAATGTGGGCTATACGAGGAGAACATATTGTAATGATCAAAGAGATTACAGACATCTAAATGTCAATTTTTTTGCAAATGGTTAAACTTTCTGTCATGTTTGTTCATTTGTTGTTTAACGCCGCACTCGGCAATATTCCACGTATATGATGGCGGTCTATAAATAATCGAGTCTGGACCAGACGGTCCAGTGATTGACATCATGAGCATCGATCCACGCAATTGGCATACTATGACATGCATCAACCACGCCTGATCACACGATCCCGTCAGACGCCTTTTATGACAAGCATAGTCGCCTCTTATAAATATAAAAATTCCCTTCCATACTCAAGGAAATCTCTGCCAGAAGCACAGTCGATTTATTTTGCGATTCCGACTGTATCATGAGCCTAAGTTTGTGGATCAATCTCAAATAGTGATACTACCCGGTGACTGTGCACGTCATTAACACATGCAAAGGCACGTCAATTGGTCACATGAAAAAAAAAACCATGGGAAAATTTGGTACAAATAATGAATTGCATCTGACATAATCGTTTTGTCAATGATGCGTCACATTTGGAAAACCCTTTTAGCAACATCGTAAAATAACTTGAAGTTGAGTGTCAAGAGACACACCACATGGTCTTTATTACAAATCTCATGTCTATGCTGTATGTGATTTCCCAGAAGGATTTCACATTGTAAGAAAGAGAACAAAATACTAGTTAGTATATTAAGTCAATGCCATGGTAAAGTTCAATGTCCCACCACACGATCAGCTGTCTGGGCGTTGTGGTATTGATGAGACGATACTAAAACATATTTAGCAACCCTGAAAGTTATAAGTTTATGTTCAGAACGTTTTATCGTGGTCGTTGGAGACGCCACAGTTAGCTGGACACAGTTGCGCCCGTATCCCTGACAAAATCCTTTGATTGTTGGTTCCAATCTCATATTCGCCCCGATTTTGTGTCTATGTTTGTCACCTTAAAGTGGTAAACATCTGAGACCTGCATCACTTTCCTTTCCTCCGACACCAAACTAACACGCAATAAATGGAATACTGTTCAAGGCGGCAGTAAACAACATTCACTCAATCAATTATCACGGTCCTACATATTCTTTTAAAAGAAAATTCCGGCTCCTTCGTAATAATTGATTCTTAATTTATTTCAAAGTTAAAATGGTGTAACATAAATCGTTTGTGCAGAACGTGTTGGTCTAAGACGTTTACCACTTTGGTGAAACCCACGAGGGTTGGCTTGTGCTGGCAAACCTAGAAATATAATCAGGGCAAATATGGGATTCGAACCCACGATCGAAGTATTCTGGCACGCATACGAGCGCAACTCTGTACAGCGAAGTGAGGCGTCTTTGTCGACTGGGCCACTCGTGTCCCCGATCGATAATGACACATGCCCGGTTTCGACAGTGTCCGCAGTATAGAATAGCGACATATTAGTCAATCGATGGTTTGTTTCATCCAATATATTCCAACTTTAATGGTGAATGAAGCGCTGCAATAAAAATAAAATCCCCAAGACGAGAAAAACATTCAGAACTGCTGTGCAATCCGACACTAATTACGTGAAGACTTTAGATCAATATATTTTCCTGGCATTATTGAAGTTACATACCTGTAAATCATATCCAATTACCATGTAATATAAAAAAATTATTAAAACATTCTATTGCGGTAGAACAACATTTTATGACCCGTTTCAGTTAATTATTCATTGGGCGGCTCCTTATATATTAAATGTAAATCATATACAATAATTACGTCGCGTTAATTGATGCTCTCATTAAGTGATACCATTACACGTAATTAGTTTGAAAAGGTCATCATACGTTCACTCGCCTCTGTGTCGGTCAAGCGAATCTCGTAACGCTTCTCCTCTCCGTCAACAAAGACCATTCAAGAAAACAGGACCCTCGGCATTAAATCTCCCCGTAACTGTTCGGCAAATAACAATTCACATCCCTATTTTTTACGTAATATCTAACAGTGAGGAATGTAAACATATGACCCAAGTCACGCACGTTTAATAGCGAGTGGGTTGTTATCGCATTATTCCACCGTTAGGATGAGAGTGCTGGCTCAATTCTTGGAGGAGTCTCTTGCTCGAATCTGCACATGGCACACAATGGAAGGGATGTTGTCGTGCTCGGGTGGGGCGGGACGGAGGGAGGAGCTATGGCTTGGTTCTGCCACCGTGCCGCTGTAACCCGCTACCTCTAAGCATAGCTTCGCCCCAACATGCCCCAATGTTATTAGTATCAATATGGCAGCTCAGATTGCAACCGGCTCAGCTTTCAAGTCAATACAGCGGAGTGTAACTGGTATCGCATAGCCCGACGCCCGGCTTTCCACTCTGCTCAAGTAGCGAAGTACGGCAGAGCATTAGGCTCCTTGCTACCGAACTATCTAACCATGGACAAAAACTATGAAGAACCCGAGTCGGTCGCAGAGGATCTACCCGTTAAGATTAAGGAGGAACCTCAGGATGACATCAAGGTAAGGCCGTGTTTTCATTCTGTCATGAAGCCAACTGTCGTTAGCTTCGCTATCCAGTGACTCTCCCGTTAATTATCGAAATTCTCAGGCCTGTTAGGTATTTTAAGTATGACGGAAGACTCGCGAGTGGTTTACCTGTCTCGTTGCGTTGGTGGGAAAGGTTTTCAGCGAAAAACAGCACTTGTAGTTATCGTGTAAGCACTAACTTTCTCTCCTACTGTGTAAAGCAGACGATATTTCTCAGTGGCAGACGATATCCTGCTAGAAGGCGCCCGGCCCAGTCGCTAAGGTTGTATGGCCACTTATAAATAGAACGTATTTTCGCCGTGTATTACATCAGAACAGGGTCACTTATAACTATATAAACCTCTGTGTGTATGTGCAATCAATACGATGTCTGTTTGACATGACAAATGCATTATGTCCGACTCTGTTCATTTGTAAATGTTGGCGTCGTTCGTGTGTGTTCAATTTCAGTTAACCCCTTTACTGCTAAACAGGTAGGTATACATTTACATATGCGCTGTTAGTACATCGATACGCTTGACAATATATATCAAGTCATTTTCGTTTTCTGGCTGTTTTTCCAACTGAAAATAGAGCATCACATTTCAATAGGTTTTCTTTTTTTAAATATCCTGTCAGAAGTTTTTTTCATTTGGCGTGCGTCTGCATGACATGACCTGAAGCATGCGACAGATATATAATACTGAAATATTAATGTCACTGCTAAATATTAGATAGTTATATATTTTATAGAAACAATAGACAACCCAGAATATGTGGATGTGTGAAATACAATCGCGCATAGCTCCGATATGACCGACTGGCGCGTATTCGGTTCCTACAACCCTATCCCACATTTGTCATTTCTCTGAAATTCAGTCCGTTTGGTAAATTGATTCGAAATATTTAACATGAGAGCGATACGGGGTTGATTTCCTCAGTATTATTGTATTTCAAACTTGCATGATGAATATTCATGCTGTATTATGATCAGGGAGCTAACTTGACAGTTGCTGTTGGAAGCTCTTTCACCTGGGGTACTTCAACTTTTTACCAGTAATGATGTACGACATTTATCGCGGCACTATGTTTGTATGTCATTACAAACACACAGACTATGGGTTATTGCCTATCACCCCCATCATGATCTTCCTACCGTGGACAGTGACATGTTTTCTCATTAATGTGACAATCAAAAAACTATACAGCTCTGAAATATCAATGGACTTTTTTGAAAGGCACCTTTTTTTACATAACAGAGCACGGAAACGGTTGTTGTGTTCAACGTTTACGTCATGTAAATAGAGAATATGTAAGAGATTTCATTCGTATGATATTTTCCTTTTGATTTTTATTTGTTTACACTGTTTACATATTTCTTCACATCTTATTCCCTGATAATTACGATAATGTTATTTCAGTTATCAATATGTTATTACATACTTTTATCATAGAACTTGAAATGTGATTGAATTGTGGCTCTTTTGTCAAACAACTTTACACCGGAACTTTCATTGCTGTACAGCTCACTCAAGAATACCTAGCCGCTTGATACGGAATTGTATGAACACAGTTTCTGGTATATTTAGCCTTTTGGGCAACAGATAGTCATTAAGTCGTTAAAATAGAGTTTTCGGAAAGATAAGTGTGACAGATAATTCAAGATACTGTTTTATACATTTGAATTTGCAACATGATTCGTAACCAGTCGCTCTTTTCCGTTACCCCCTGTTCCGAATGTCCCGGAATGATACGAGTGGTTACGAAGGCCTCTGTTCCACAAAACCATTGATGACCCTAATATCGCCTGCACCTGCTGTAGGCGCGGTGATAACCCGACACCTAGCTCGGCAACCTGTAAGCCATAGAGGTTAGAACAATCTAATACACATACAGACCTGCTCTCGGAGTGGTTGTTAGTCGATAATATACAACAGTGCTGTCTAGCTTCAACAGGAAGAGATTCTGATGTTACGAGCCCAGAACGAAATTACGTGACCATGGGATTATGTTAGCTCACCTGGATGCCGTTGCGGGGCGTGTATGTGTTGGTGCTAATCGCTGTCCTTCAAACTTTTTTTCATCCCTATGAAGAGTCTTCTATCTGGAACCTGTGCTCGGGGGAGCGGATGTCGCGGGCATCAGACTTTGAGAAATATTTCTCACTACGGTGTTACAAGATGCGACAAAGCTGAAACAACATGGATACAACGTTCGGACAACGCTGTGATGTCGGAGTGTGTCAGCAGCTGCGTTTTAACAAAGTGTTCTTAATATATAACACTCACTTTGGTATCTGCGGGCGTACGTTGAAACATGGTAATGACAGTTGTGTGAAGGGATCACTGAAGATTAGTCATGACAACAGGTCTTCGCGAAAAAGTAAGCATATCCTGTCCTACCTACAGACTGTTGGAACGTCATCTACATTCAAAGTTGTCCGACCCGTGATGATCCGGGGTAGAATAGGTCTTCAGCAACCCATGCTTCAGCAACCCATGCTTGCCGTAAAAGGCGACTATGCGTGTCGTAAGAGGCGACTAACGGAATCGGGTGGTAAGACTTCTGACTTGGTTGAAGCATGTCATCGATCCAAAAGGTGGATCGATGCTCATGATATCAATCTCTGGATTGTCTGGTCCAGACTCGATTATTTACAGACCGTCGTCATATAGGTGGAATATTGCTGAGTGCGGCGTAAAACAACAAACCAACCAACCAAACCAACTCTCTGCGAATGACACTTCGTCAGAGCTGTGACTGTATGTCCCACAAGCCATGCTTCATTCCACAATGACATCTTAGCGCTGAGTCGGTCGTAATTCCCACACCTAACATAGAACTGTGACTGTGTTACTGCTACAGTCGCTTTGCGAAATTGGGTCCCGTTCTACAAAGCGATCTTAGCGGTACTCCTATCGTAAATCGGTGTTCAGTTACGGGAGTCACGATAGCCCAGAGCCCAGGAGCCTCATCCTGATGCTGGAACTGAACTGCATCCTTTGTACGAATATCAAGGACACGCTCCGCATGTCGTAACTTCAATACCCGAATATTGGCATAAGATAGTTCTTTGGTTGTTGTTGTTAAACGCCGCACTCAGCAATATTCCAGCTACATGTATATGAGGATTGTCTGTAAATAATCGAGTCCTGGCCAGGCAATGCAGTGATTGACTTCATGAGCATCGATACACGCAATCGGGATACATGCCTGACCACCCGATCCCGCTGGTCGCCTTTTACGACAAAAATGGGTTTCTGACGACCAATTCTAACCCGGATCTTCATTGGATCAGTTACATTGCTGAGACTTCTTTGCAGAACGGTTGACCTTACCATCTGTAGGTGTATCTCAAACCCAAAGTCTGTTCTCCATAAATAAATGTGATTTACTTTTGGTAGTCAAATCAACTATACATCAACTGTGCCATCTATGTTCCACATTAATTCCATGCCACACGTCCAGTGACAGTGAGGAGAATCATTATGTTCTAAGATCTATTGTGGGTTAAGAGCAAGTCATCGTTACTCTGGACGGTACTGTCCACTACAAATTCCTTCGGATTAACATACATGTACTTTACAATTAACGAAATATTGTACACAGTAATGCCCCTTATATATTCAAGGGGCGGTGGGGTAGCCAAGTGATTCGCTCGTCACACCGAAGATCCGGGTTCGATTCCCTACATGGGTACAATGTGTGAAGACCATTTCTGGTGTCCCCTGCCGTGATGTTGCTGGAATATTGCTGAAAGCGGCATAAAACCATACTCACTATCATATATATTCAGTGTCCCGTTTTACAAAGCGGTCGTATCGCAACGACTTTCGTAAGTCTATGTCAAAGTATGGAAGTTACGATTTTCTTAGCGCTGGGGTCGCTTTGAGAAACGGGACCAAGGTGCCCAGCAGGTGTTTGTCCGAAAGTCCGAGTTTTCGGATTTAGTTTTCTGACGAAAGGGGATTCACATAAAGATGGTAACTATTCATCCGGACACACATACATTCTCTAAGTTTATGAGTGAGTGAGTATGGTTTTACGCCGCTTTTAGCAATATTCCAGCAATATCACGGCCCAATAACCACTAGGCTACCCGACCGCCCATCTAAGTTAATGGCTGCAACTGATAATGGCACATACCTGTATATCCTGCTATGTTAAAGCTGCCCATACGTATGATGGGATGAGGCTTTCACGCAAACACAGCCAATGTCATGATAAATTTGAATTCTCAAACACCTGACGCCAGTTTCAGTGTAGAATTGTCCCGTTTGTTGCACCAGTAGGTATGCAACAGTACAAAGTGTCTGACCTAAACATATTACTGAGTGTGGAAATACCAGAAACAGATTTGATTTCTTCAATTTATCTGAATTACTTGATCGAAATAAGATGATTAGACTCGAAAGCTGGGGAAATATTAACACCTGTTGATACGCCTTTCTCACTGGATCGGATATCAAGTACTGCAAACCGTATGACCTTCTCGGCGAAGTCCTCAACGTGGGGCTTTTCGCGCAATAGAGCGTCCCACGTAAGGTGAGGTGAAATGGTGTTTAACGTCGCGTCCAAGATTATTGCACTTACATATAGCGACGTGCATGCTAGTGCTAGCACACTGAGATACCATGCCGCAGTTAAACAGGAATACCCCACTCAGACACTTTATACTGACTCCGAGCCGAGCCGATTAGCCCCTTAACGCCGAGCGCCAGACAGGGTAACAACAAGTACCATCTTTTAACGCCTTTTGGTATGACGCGGCCGGGGATCGAACCCGGGACCTTCCGCTCTACGGGCGGACGCTCTACCACTAGACCACGGAGGCGATCCGTCCCACGTAAGTGTCATTCAAAGGTTAAGTATGTCAATAAGGCTTGCCCAGCTTAGTTGACTGGGTATAACCACACACAGCGTTTCCCTGCTGCTAGTTGATGTTAAAAACTGTAGGTCTCTGGAATCCGATACACAAATCAACTGAAGGGCAC